TCATTATAGGTGGTCCTTACCCGCGAATTCGTTCCTGGATTGTTGCTTTATTAAATTTTTCGTTTACATTTTCTTTTGTGGAGGTGAAGATCTAAATGGTAGCAGAGTAGCTACGGAACCTCAGAGAAGACAATGTTTTTGATTGAAACTAATTAACTCGTAAAATTGCTTTTGAAGATCCATCGCAACTAGTCCTGACAAATTTCGCTTTTCTTGTTATCATGTCCGCGCATCAGCGAAATCGGCCCGATCCCACGTGGCCAAAAACGGCAAAACTCGCGTTGTCATCAACGTGTTATTTGCATAGAGTAGGCTTCGACATAGGAATCTAAAATGATGTTCCAATATTCGATATCAAAAAGGATTCTAGCATTGGGTTTCAGCATGCTCAACAAACATTGATATGACGCAGATTCCATTGCTGCTGTGCTGAATTGAGGATGGTCCGGGCCGTTTCTTACGAATAAAACCACAATTTTTAATTGCGATCTTCGATTTGGCGATGTTATTTTGCAGATCGTGTTCTGCTGTTTTGTATGTAATATGTGAATTTCCGACAATTTCGTTGACTGCTGGCTGCGTTGGGCAAAAACGAAAACGTTTCCAAACTTTTTACTGCTACTGTATGTTTTTGAGACAGCTCTACCCTGAAAAGTTTGTTCTCGAATATATTATTAACGGCTTATCGCTATGCGACAATAGATACTAGTTCGGTAGGAAAGTTTCTGTCTTTTCCAATATTTTCTTTCTTTGGTTATCAATTGGCTGATCAGTAAAATGTTTAGAATTGTAGGGAGAAAGCTTCGCGCGTTATCGTTAAGCTGATCGCATTAATGCTGCAGTGACGTCGACACGACCGTATAAAAGGATGATGGAGCTTGGCTCGGGGCTTCGGCTCTTAGCTCTCGGCGTTCGACTTTCGACTGATCCTACTGTATTCCGGCATTCGCTATCGTCCACTGCGATTTCTACAATAGTTGGTGTAATCCTCAATATTTGGGACCGATTTTAAGGTAGACATAAAGTTTATAAAAGCTTTACGTGTACCGCCTACATACGTCAAGAACCAAGACCGCGTGGCACTCAATTCATTGAGGTTTAGGCGAGCAATACTCAAGATCGGTTCTGGTAATTGCACTCAGTCAATAAGGAAACGCCAACACGGCTTCTCTTTTCACATTCGTGAAGAACCATCGGGAAATCTCCGGTAAAATGGTACTGCTTTCGCTATCAGGAGCAACATTCCCCATTTCATGCTTAGCCGATTCTACTCCTGTGGATAGACAAGACTAATCATGGCACAGACTACAATTGTGTGACAGACTTGAAAACAAATGACAATGCAAACACCAGACTCTCTGTCACGGGACTTCACTGCAAGCCGAATGTTGTTATCGAAACCGAGGCACCAGAAATCTATTCCAAGGTTCGAAGAACTCGGAATTTGTTTTGAAAATTTCACGCCTTAGCTTATGCGCAGATAGCATGACGAGAATTCAGAGCAGGGTGGCGAAAAATTACATGTTCGTGGCACTTTGCTCTGTTCTCGACATTTTATGATCAACTTGTGCGTACTTTTCTTTTCAAAATACCTATCCATTAATAGCAATTCTAAATTTTCATACACTTTGTAAATTTTGGCGAAGATTTGCCCAACAAGCAACGCCACTGCGCTGCTAGCAAACAGCTGGATTATGACCTCGATGATTTTTTGAATGCCAGATTTCTTCCAAAATCGTCCAGAAAACTGTAACGCAAACGAGAAACACCTTCAATCGAAAGCTTGGCTTCCAATTACGCAACTTCTCAAACATACTAGCTCTCCAAGGTCTTGCAAGATTTTTTGGCGACTCTATATGTTTTATAAACCATTCGCAAGTAGAATCTACAGAGTGCAGTAGATAGGTGGTGCTTCCTCGATAAAAGCTGTCCATGGCAAAGTAGAGAGAAACATCATCCCGTGAAGATCTTCGAGACGGTGTAGTTTGAAGTGGTATGCTTATTATTGGCTAGAAAATTTGCAACTTCATCGCACACCGCAATCGATTGATTTTGGTTTGTTTTTGATTGACTACTTGCCCGCTAAGTAGCAGGTGCGATTTCGAGTCCTGTCCGGGGCGAAAGTTTTGCTCACAACTTAGCATTCTTGCGTTGACAGTTCTACATATATGATGGACCGAAAACATTGAAGAGGAACTAATGACAAGAGGAACTAACTGTGCAAACTTCTCCTCGAAAACAATTCGAGAGGAATACAATGAAAAATTTTAGTGCCGAGCTTTCCACCGAATTAAATTGCGAATTGAATTGTCCACAAAAAAAGGCACCAAAAATGCCATGCCAAATTTCAAACAACTCGAAATCTCCAAATCTCTAGATTTCAAAGGTAATTCTACGAAGACAAACGAATCGTTCCCCCCCCCCCTCCGATATGGCTAAAATCGCTAATGGTTAGAAGCTTCCTTTCCTTTTCATAGTTTTGCAATTAGTCATCAGCGTTTATTCTTAGTTTCGTAATCTTCTGGCAGATCTTAGCTATGCTTACATTACTACGCTTGAGAACGTTTTATCTTCAGGGTTATGCTTACATATTTCTGTGCCTCCGCCGACGTTTACGGTATAAAAGCGAAGGATGAGCCTAGAGGGTGTGTGCTACCAGACCGTCTGCCTATCAAGATCCGCTGGACAAGACTCTTCCTGGAACAAGGGGTGGAATAAATCTTGGGCGAGACCTCTGCCTAGACGATCGACGCGGCCTTAAGTGCGATTCAGGACAAGACCAAGAACTTGTCAGTTATAAGGCTCAGTATAATAAATTCATATATAAACCCTTGTTCCTTCAGAAAGCGTGGCCAGTGACTTCGAACAGTCACTGAAAGGCGAGCGAGAACAGGGGTATAAGTTCCAAGAAGGCGCTCAAGAACCACCATAAATTGATGCATCGCGCGGGTAATGCCAAGGAAAGTTTACTAAAGGTCCAGTACACGGGGTATAGGAGTCAAGCCCAAAATTGAGAAGTTCTACGAACCTCAGCTCGTAGTTAACCGTAACATGTAGCCTACCGCAATACGTCACCACTTTTTGAGTCCTATACTGTGGCTCCACCTTTTTCGGACTACCACAAAAGAGGCCCCGCCTCGTTTCAGATAGCAGCAGATAATTGGGATCGAAACCGTTCCTGGCCACACATCACAAATGCTTTCGTCTCTCCAGATGACATCGAAGCCCTTTGGGAATGTCCAGTTCACGTGTGCGCAGACGCATTCCATTAGCTATCATTCGCCGTCAGATAACTTCACAGGATTCGAGAAGTGATGAAGGCTGACGTGTAGAGTTAGGCTTTAGAATGTTTTGCGTATCCAATCGCAGGGCAACTGCACTGAATTGACTTCTTCATCTAGCAATAGAGCGATCCAAAGTGTGTCACCACAATGTGCAAGAGCGCTCTTGCCAGCATGACATGCCTTTAACGGAGGGGATAGTTCCACACTTGGCCCCTGTTCAGACTTCGGCAACCCCAGAAGGCCACAATTCCATCATGTTTCATCATGCTGTTGATTTTGTTGACTTTTAAGCTTTTTGCAACTCTTTGAAATCTACATGGAATTTGGTCATACTCGAGCGTTTCTAGTGTCATTCTAACTTCTTCTAATCTGAACTGATTTGATTTAGCAGAAAAAAGTTACGGCCGGGGAAGCATTCGGCCAAGGACTTTTAAGCGCTACAGTATCTCTGAAGGGAAGTATCCAACCAACATTAACCCAT